TATAATAAATCTTAATCACGCCTATATTTGATGATAGATAATGATAGGTTTTTATAGGAATGCGATACTTTGTCTACAATTTAAGAGCTGTTAATGTGATTCACTAGTTGACGCGAGCAATCAATCTTTTATATGTCAATATTAACCAGACATAAATACATTAATACTGTACAGTCCATAAGAGCTGGCTAAGGAAGTATAATATATACCATTATGTTCATCTAATTAACTAAAACTAAAATAAAACAGTAGCAACAGCTATTATTTCTTTTTTAATATGTTATCATCTGTAAAATACATTTCTATTATGACCTAGGATATAATATCGGTTGAATATTTAGATAATGTCCCCTTACCTCGTAGTATAATTGATGAAGAAGCTATTACAAATAAATTACCCAAACTATCTGTTTACTTGATGATTATATAATTCATTTTCTTAAGCGTGTCAACCTACTTGAGAAACGGTAATGTTTACTTAGCATGTAAATACATTAATTAAACGTTTGCGATATTCTCCTGTTCATTTTTAGATTTAAGTGTGTCTTCCTAAGTTTCCTTAAGTTTTTCAGCAATTGAAACAATCTACTTTTTACGGGTCAAAATTGTACGCATAAGCTGAAATATATGGGGAACCTTTTATTTTGCCGTTGTGGGCGTTCTTTGTGGATGTCTATTGTAATTGTAGTTGTTTCTTAACTTCCTTTTGTTATTAAACGTTGAAATAATCGTTACTAAAGAAATATAAAATAAGCAGATTTTTCTTTCAAGCAAGAATTTAATTACTTTAGTCAAGCTATTATAGCGACAACATGGTATTGTTTTTCAAGCAAGGCAGACGATTGCTTTCATTAGCGTCACTGTGTATTTAGATAATTGCTGGATCCTTTATCAGGAATGTTCACATTTAACATGTTGAGCGCTCTCGTGGGTGCTGTTTTATTTGATCTTAAATGACAAATTACTAGACATTGTTATTTATTGCATATTTATATCTTACATTGTGTTCCCTGCCTGCAAGTCGCCAAATTTGGTTGAAGCAAAATTGAATGTGAATTTGATTCGTGTCTTCGTTGATTTCACAACGTGGATGTATTTAATTATCTTGAACAAGATACAAGATATGTTTTCTTGACATATACATTTCTTTCGTACTTTAAATGGGTCTACATAGAAACACCTCATTTGAAAGGCAATGTACTTGGCAAACAAATTTTTAAGTTTCACCTTGAGCGACCATATTTTAGGGTTTCATGTTAGCTTCAAACATAACAATACTGTAAAAGCTTAAGCTAAACTTCTCAAATATCAAACACCATTAACACCATAAGGAAAAGAAAAGAGAGGATGATAATGTAGCAGATTATATGACTGAACATTTAGTCCAATCAAAATCTGTCAAGACCTTGACAGAATAAAAATCTTCTTTTGTACATGTGGAGCAAGAACATTTATGAACATTGCCAGCTCGGTCGCCATGTACTTTACAAATTTATCGGATGAATGTAAAACCATTCTTTTTTTCAAACTATGGTATCAAATTGGCTCACAATATGAATATGGACGACTGACCAGTCCGGGCTCTCCCTTGCGCTCTGTCCTGTTTTATTGTTTGATGTCCTCCTGGGCTCCTTGCCGCTGGTTCTTGTTACTGGGTCGTGTGGGGGTTGCGTTCGTTGAACGCCGCCTTCCTTGTTGATATTGTTTATCACATTTTACGTTGTAAGGCTATTGTATTTAATTCAGATTACGCGGTGTTCATGGTTACTCAAAGAAAAACTTACCATTTCGGCCTAGAAATTGTATTTTCTAAATGAACATTGTTTGTTTGTCCTATATATATGTTTAAAAGATATGTTTCAAAAGCAAATTTGTCATTGTCATCCATCAAATTAATTTTTATTGAACCCATCATCCAATTACAAAAAAGACTCTAAATAACAATAATAGCTTAACCTATTGTATGACACAAGAATGTGTCAAGTTCAAGTTGAAATTAGTTGCACCTGACTGTACATATCGGATAGTAATTAAGGTACATATTCATTTAGAGCCAGTAGGACCATCACAGTTGCTAATGCAACAGGTGTATCTGAACGTATCCAAAAAGACACGGATTCTTAAGAGAAGCAAATATCCATATCGTTAGTGTTTAAATGTGTAGTCTTTGAGAGACGGTTGTGTGTTTATCAGAACATTTGTCATTAAATATGATAAACAAGATCAACAAGGAAAGGCGGCGTTCAATGAACGCAACCCCCATACGACCCAGCAACAAGAACCAGTGTACCCCAAACAAAAACAGGACAGGGCAATACTTTGAATTATTTCTGTCACTCATTTACTTGTCGTTTGATTTCTATATTAGCGTTTCCGTATATTGCATTTTGGAGTTTAGTTGTTATTTCTAGACGTTCTGCTGGGAAAGAACATTGTACTACCGGTATTTCGTCTTTAATCGTTACAACACATAGATTAGTTCTTTTGTACTAGTGTTTCCGATACAAAACCGGTTTGTACATTCATTGTTCGCTCGAGCGATTCAAGCTGTATAGGAGCGGTATTTTCAGTTTATTTACATAAATTGCATTTTTAAACACAACACATGCGTAGTGTAGCCTTTACATTGTTTTGTATGTATGTTTAATGTTTGCAAGGATGAAGCCCATGCTTATTATTTATGAGACAGGCACAAATTTATTAAGCAATTGTAATATTTACAGTATTCTACACTATAATTATAATACAAGTGTTCTCGGAAATTGCAACTGGAGATGAATTCAGTTGCGTGAATTTTACATCTTATTTGCATGATCTGAAGGGATTTAAGGTATAACCCTCTCCATGCATTACCTCCGTTTTGAAGAGTTTTCAAATAGGCTAGAACTACTGTCAACTGCACAGAAACAGAGGGTCATGGGTTTTAGACCCCAGGAGGTTTAATTTTTTATCTTCTATTTTTCTTTAATATTATTTATGTATTTGTCATGCCCGTTTTGAGAATTGCCATCCGTGTTTCACGTATGAAGGTTCAATTCGATATATCAAATACTTTTCGAGTAATGTTCCATACAAAATTTACATGGAAAATAATAAAGGAAAAATAACTAAATAAATGACGGATAGAGTTATCACTGCAAACCCCTCGTTAATGAGATCTATTACCCCATGAAGTTTAAGTTGATATCTCAAGTACTTTAAGTTAACAATGTAACATTTCAATTCTATTGTCCTAAGAAAATGAGAAACATCGAGAAGGAAGAAGGAAAGTAAATACGATATGCATATTACATGTATACATTTTTCTTTTACAAATAAACGATACAAAAATAGCACAAAGAGATCGAATGTACCGTCGTCTGAAAAATACGGAAGCGTATCAGGGCCTACAGTTGGTGAGATGTTTTGCGCTAAGTCGACTTATTTTTATTCGCATTGATAAGATGTTTTTGTATTTCTCAATAAAATTTACTGACAAAGATGAGAAGCTTTTAGGCATTGCCACTGAATTTTTCTCGATATTCTTGAAGCTTTTGTCTCTTCGACAAAAATCCTGTCGAAACTTCTTGATTTCAAGACTTTGCTGAAATATTTAGTAAGACACAAAGACGTTACTCGCATTGACAAATAGCTCACGTAATTCAACAAATTTTTTTTGCAATGATTAAAAACTTCCACGTATTACGTATTAATTATAACGTCTTCATAGAATGTTTTATGTATTACGTATTAATCATAACGTCTTCATGGAATGTTTTTGGTCAAAACGAGAAGAAACAAGTTGACATGACATGAAACTTTTTGATAAGTGGAGGCCTTGATAATCTTCCGTAGAAAAAGAGTCAAATAGAAAAATGCTGTCTTACAACTACTGTCTATATTTGTGAACGGATAGGTACGAGGTTTATTAGGGCCTCCACTTATCTAAAAGTTTCACGAATGTCAATTTGTTTCTTCTCGTTTTTACCAAAAATATTCCATGAAGACGCAATGATTAATATGCAATACGTTGAAGTTTTCATTCATTGCGAAAAAAACATTTACTGAATAACGTGAACTTTCTGTCAATGCGAGTAAGGTTTTTGCGTCTTACTAAATATTTCAGCAAAGTCGTGAAATCACGAAGACTAGATTTTTGTCGAAGAGACAAAAACATCAAGCATATCGTGAAAGGTAAGTTGCGATGCCTGAAAACTCCTCATCTTTGTTAGTAAATTTTATTGAGATGTGCAAAAACATATTATTAATGCGAATAAAAATGAGTCGACTTAGCGCAAAACATCTCATCAACTGTAGGCCCTGATAAGCTTCCGTAGATAGGGTATCAAAATTAAAAGTTGAAGTCATTTACTTTTGTCGAAAATTTAATTTTTAATTTTTCAGTATATGTAATTCCTTTCGGTTGATGTTTTTGGATGCATTTTATTATCTCGTCTGTATATAAAAAGTCAACAGAAACATATATTCATATCCTTTTGATTGTCATAAGTCATCATCATGTGTAGTCATCATCATGTGTTGAAATCTTTGTATTTGGATATATGTAAAAGGAGACATAAATCTTTGGTTATATAAACAGAACAAAATACAAACTTTATTTGCCTAACATTTACTTGATTCACGTAACATACGTACATTTTACATATATGAAGTAATGTGACGTTTACATAAAGAATCATATATTATCAAATTATACTAAACGTTATACACAATATTTAATTATACATACATGTTTTGCGTAATCTAGATTGACACTTTACAAAAGGTTTGATTAACATTTTCAAAAACCAAAAATGCTTTTTACAATAATTTGCTAATTTATTTAAGAAAAATGCATTTAATTTTAACAATTTAGTACTTTCAACAAACTTATAAAGCTGTTTGCAGTGTGTCGTTCAATTCTTAGCATTTTGTCTGTGTTAAGTTGGAGACACACATTAACCTTATAAAATGAATTGTCATGTATGTTTGTCCATTTTTTCTTTTTATTGGTTGACTAAAGAACAAAAGCTTTACGTAAGAACTTGTTATCTTCCTTCTTCCTTTTACATTTATTATTTGTGGGGATTATGTGTACAGCAGGTATGTCATTTACCGTAGTTGATTTCATTTTATTTATTATAAAAGTTAGTTGCCGTTTATTTGTTTTCATGTACTTCTTATCCAGAGAAACAGTGGTAGAAATAGAAAAAATGTATTTATGAGCTTAAGTTGTGTCTGTTCCGCATATTTATATTATTCTGTATGAAATATTTTTCAATAACGTAGACGATAATCAAAATCTTTGTATTGGTTTAAAATTGTGAACAATTGGCAAATATTTGTAAAATCTCAAAGTTTTAGGTGGAGTTTTATTTGAAATGTACATTTACAAAAAAAAATCATCCTTTTATGTGTTATCTTATTTATATACTGAATTTGTCTCAAAAGTAAACCAACGTTTGCATTTTTAATTTAAAATAGTTTAAACATATTCTCTCAGTGAATTCGACACCTATTTGCCGTTGTTTCTTTTGGAAACATTATTATTACTTATTATGCAGTATAAAAAGAATAATGTGCGATGTTTAAGAAATGATATATATCCCAAGCAGTGATAGTTCGGATGCGAGGAATTATACCATGAGGTGATATACCATACTCTATGGTCATTTCTACCATTCCATCTTTTTACATGCTATTTTAATGTTGTTTTGTTTACAGTTAATATGAAAGCAATGAAAATGCAAAGCCGTCAAGAAACTCGAATGAAGAGAAGAAACGTTTCTGCAATAGGTCGCCTTCCTTTATTTCCAAATTTTTAAATTCTTACATGATTGTTTCATGTTATCAATTAATAATGAATATAACATATCTTGAATAAGTTTAAAAGTTTCAAGTTGAATGTAATAGTACTTGTATCATAGTTTGGGGACCCTTCTGTTGAAAATGAGTCATAGTTAAATCGTATACATAACTGGAGTGCAGATATTAGTTACCCGCTCTCCAGAGCATGTCCATTGATTGGCTCATTTTGCTGGAGTTTACTTAATGTGGCGGCAGAGAAAGGGAAAGCGACATAAATTTTATATTCAGATGCTCGTTCATTGGTTACTTTTTTCTTGGATTTCATATTGTGACAACAGGGAACGTGTCTTTATGTTTGACTATGATACAAAAGAGAATGAACATCAAAACATCGGCAATCTGATTTATCTCATACAAATCAGATAGCCTCGTGTTTCAATGATCTTTCTGTTACTTATTGTCGGTTAAAAATGCAAAGCAGGAAATAAATGTTCTATTTAAAAGAAAGATTTTGCTGTGAGATTGAATCATATTCTAAAACCAAACAAAGAAAATGGACGTTTTTAAAGTAAGAATAGAAATCTATTAAGGATATATAGTCTTTTCATAATTTAAAAAATATACACCCTCTTTATCTTTGTAGGTTGCTCATTGTTGGTTGTGTTATCTGCAATCAGTCATGCAGGTACGTTATTGTTGTTCCAGTTTGAAATTAACCATAATATTTTTTAAGTAGCTAGTATTTACCAAATGATAAGTTTCTCCTTAATTTAACAACGATGGTGAGACATAAAGTTAAAAAAAGATTTACATTGAATAATCTTAAAGAAATGATATCTACGGAAGCGTATCAGGGCCTACAGTTGGTGAGATGTTTTGCGCTTAGACGACTTATTTTTGTTCGCATTGATAAGATGTTTTTGCATTTCTCAATAAAATTTACTGACAAAGATGAGAAGCTTTTAGGCATTGCAACTGAATTTTTCTCGATATGCTTGAAGCTTTTGTCTCTTCGACAAAAATCCTGTCGAACTTCTTGCTTTCACGACTTTGCTGAAATATTTAGTAAGACGCAAAGACGTTACTCGCATTGACAAATAGCTCACGTAATTCAACAAAATTTATTTGCAATGATTAAAAACTTCTACGTATTACGTATTAATCATAACGTCTTCATCGAATGTGTTATGTATTACGTATTAATTATAACGTCTTCATGGAATGTTTTTGGTCAAAACGAGAAGAAACAAGTTGACATGACGTGAAACGTTTAGATAAGTGGAGACCCTGATAAGCTTCCGTAGATATCTTTTCAAGACACCATTTACAGAATGATGAGAAAAATAAATAGTTCTGCATTTAATCAATTTTAACATGTAAACTGTATCCATTTGAAAATATTCTCAAATGTGTTTAAATTAAAATTTTATCATAAACTTCTATCCGAATAAAAAAAACATCCATATTAAATTGATAACTATGCGTTTTATAGTTAACTTTACATTGACATGTAGCATAAATAAGATAATTATAAACTACCCAAGGGAACAATTGAAATTAAAAGGATGCTTCAAGGGATAAATCTAATATATGTTCAGTCAGCCAGAACTTAAAGGAAAACACAAATTATATTAATCGTACAGATTTAATGCTGGACTGCAAATATTTTTGATTTAATAGATTAGATTAAAAAGATGACAATCTTAAATCTTTGATTTGATAATAACTTTTGAAAATTGTTTTAGTCCTTTCTTATTCATAAGTGTGGATTTGTTTACTGTTATTGATTTATTTAAAGCTTCCTTAGAATGCTATAGCTGTTCTGATGCTGTTAATCTAGATGCATGTACAGCTGCAGAGACCTGCAGAGACGGACAGGTGAAATACTTATATAATTATAGTTTTCCCTTAAGAAAGATGGTGTTCTGAGTCCTTTTGTTAGCTTATCGTAAACATAATCGTTTTTGACATGTTTTTCATTGTTTTATATGATGGCTGATTTGTGCCATTTGTGTTTTCGTCCCGCGGCTTCGCCAAGCGAAAAGCAAAAAATTAACAAGTTAAAACGCGCGGGCGCGAAGGTAGACTTAAGGAAAGAAGTATACCGGTAGGGTGCATAACGAGAACACGCTCATTAGCGGTAGAGCGGGACGAATTTTCAGCGAAAAAACACTTATTAGCTGTTGGTGGGGCGAAGTTTTATTTCGCTCCCCCGCTAATAAGCGTGTTTTCCATTCGCGTCTCGCCGTTTATCTCTTAAATCTTGCACCATGCCCCAACGGGGCGGCGTTTTCTATATTTGACTTCGCCCCGAACCCCCGCTAATAAGCGTACTTTTGCTCCGCGCCCCTGTCATTTTAACTTGTTAATTCTCGACTATTCGCTTGGGTGGGTCCCGGGGCGAAAACACGAATGGAAAAAATCAGCCAACATAGTTTTAGCTGTTTGTTTTAAATATTTTTGGTTGTGTTTTACGTTGCACAAACATTGTTAAGGTCAGTTGGCGACGTTCTATGTGTTTTTGTGAAGGAAGACCCCCAGGAGCCTTTACGTATTATTTCAGGCACGAACGTACACCTAGGTAGAACACCAACGAAGTTCCGTATGTTAGCTAGATAGCTTCCTTAAATAAAATTAGCCTGAAGTCCCTGACGTGATTCGAACCCACAGCGGTAAGGGATACATCAGGGTTTTTAAGTCGTCGTCAAAGTAACAGCGCTGCGAATCAAGTGGCCTGAAGCCAACAACCTTAACCAACTAGCACCGAACGCCCTAAGTTAAAAATAGAAATACGCATAATCAGTATTAAAAAGTTATTATAAAGTTGATACCGCGGAAGACGAACATATGTTGTCGTGATGAAATGCTAAATGTATGAGATTTACAAATACAGTTAATTATATAATTCTTCAAACACAAATGAAATCATGGTTACACTTGACTAAGCATGAACTTTTAAAACAATGTCGTTATTTTTATTCATTAGTTGTCTATCCAATTTATAGGTTTGTTTCAAAAAGCGAGAGTTTACAAATCAAGTTCAGTTTGACATGGGTTGTATTGACAAAAAGGTGATATTTAAATTACATTTAATTTTAAATTATAAAGAATGTTCGTTTTTTGCCATTAACTAGACATTTTCTTTCGTTTTTGCTATGACTGTTCATATTATTACAGCTTACAGTAGCACGAGTGAAAACTTTTTAAAGTAGAGACTTTATTATAATGTACTGGATGTCTTTTTTTAAAATGAATGCTTTTAAATAAGCTTTGTGATTCTTTTACTTTTACATTAACATAAATTTATTTACTTTTGAAATAGTACCTATATCCTTTTTTGTGTATTTCAGGATTGTGGCCAGTTCGCACAAACTCGAAATGCTTCAGAAATTTTGAAAATGAGTGCTGACAAAAGAAGTTATTGCTACGAATGTTGCTCGAAAGACAGATGTAACAAAGATATTTGTGAATATCCTTCACGTAAGTGCTAAATATCCGAAATTAAACAATCAGACAAATGAAATAATGTTCTTTTTACACTTTGAGCCATTTATTTACTCTAATGCATTTAGGATACAATGGATATTGAGAATGTTTGTATTCAAATCTATTTTGTTCACAAACGACAAAAATGATATTTTTCATTCATTATTCTATTCCTTTCAAGTCAGGAATAAAAGACGTCAGTAAAATTAAGTGCACAATTATAACTAACTTGAGATGTCAATAAAGTTATTTTAATGAGTTTATCTTTTTTGTTTTTCAACGTAACATAACCTGTTGCCCATGCTGGTGTTTTATATTTTATTTTGTTTGTAGATCGTGCTTTCAATTTAAAAGTAGGTGTGAAGTGTTCATAATTCAAAATTTCAGACTCATTGTGTAAAGATGATGAATCGGTTGATTGTGCTAGATTGAACTCTATGTTTAGCATTTGCAAAATTGCAAGAGAAGCAAAGAAAATGTGCCCCAAATATTGCGAGTTGTGTGACCTTGGTAGGTGATATTTAACTTTATTTGCCTTTTTTGTCTTTTAATCTAAAACGTATTACAAAAGACAATATTTTACAATATTTGACGAACAAGTGATCACATTCATTTCAAGATCCCTATAATGCATTTTTAATTGATAGGTATATTTTATGTGTGATTTTATCTAATTTACTTATGCGTTCAAATTTAATTATTTGCAATTAAAAAATAAAATGAACATATGAAATAAAAAAATAGATTTATGACCATTTGACACATTGATAAACGACATTGTTCCAATGAAAGAGAAAATCGTGCGGTGCACAAATATTAAAGAAAAAACCCGGAGATTTTTTAACAAAAAAGATGACATTTGTTTTCAATCCTCCAATGTTATCTTAATTGTGACTATATTATATATTTTGCGAAATTGAAGTTGATGGAAGTTGGTCTCTTTGGTCGCAATGGTCGTCATGTGACGTCACTTGCGGAATTGGTTCAATATTACGTCGTCGCTCATGCACCAATCCATCGCCAAAGAATGGCGGTCTTGATTGTCCAGGGAATGGAACCGAAATGAAGGCATGTAAACTGAAGTTATGTCCAGGTAATTACAAAACTGAATTATGTGATATAAATTTTTTATAAGAAACAACACGGAAAAACAAATTATCAGTTTTGCTTACAATTTTGTAATCAACTTTCCTTTCTACATCACATGTAACTTTTCCCACATAAGTATGCTGTCAAGCTTTCTGGTCTCAACCGTTTTTAAATTTTAGTTTACATTGACATTTAACAATAATAATACTTCTAATGATATTATTACAGATATATAAATACAATTATTTTCCCTACCTTTCTGTAAGATATCTCTCTTGCTACAGTACCACGGCAAAGGTTACTAAACACACTTTTATTTAAATTGTGTTAGTTCGTTAGAAATTGAGAATAACTTTAGTTCATATAATTTAGTAATTGAGTAAATTTTGAATAGATATAGTCAATGTAGCAAATGTATCGCAATGCCTATGCACGAATACTTTATAATCAATCAGTGCATGGAGGATGGACTTCATGGGAGACTTGGGGAAAGTGCTCTGTATCTTGCGGTGTAGGTATGCGGAATCGAAGAAGGTTGTGTACAAATCCTCGCCCAGAGCGTTTTGGTAATCACTGTTTTGGTGACAGTACTGAATATGAATTATGTTACAATAGATTGTGTGCAGGTAATAAACCAGTTTGTTGGTTCCATTTTTGAAATTTGTGTCGTACACTTTTATAATGACATCAGACAAAAACCATTATCATGAATCATGCAAAAAAATGCTTTTGCTTGAATTTCAATAATGTACCATGACGATGAAATATGCCTATGCTTATATCATTTAATTAAAAACGATATTCCAATGAAAAAAAAACCCAATAAATACCAACCAAGAACAATATGACAAACTAGGAAGATATTGACAAACTACATCACTAACCGGAAACGATAAATAAATCTTATTAATATAGATAAAACACTGTATACTGTAATTATATGTTTATACACAGTGATAAACAGTAGCTTCGATTAATAAAAAGTAATCGTAAAAGTATTTGTTACACTCCTTACTACTCAAGTCTTGATTTTTTCTTTAATAATTTCAAATCAGCTATTTACTATTGATGTATAGGAGTGTGGACAGACTGGCAGACATGGAGTAACTGTTTTGTAAAAAGCCACCGAAGCGTACAAACTAGGAATAGGACATGCTCAAAAAATGTGTTTACCGAAGATTGTGAAGGCAATAGTACAGAAATAAGAGCTTGCGAAGGAGCAACATTATGTCAGTATTTATAGCTTTAAATTGTTTAGCGTTGTCATGTATAAAAAGAATAAATAGAATAAAAATGGTATAACTTAGGAAATAAATCCGAACTTGTTTTTTTACGTGACGTCCTCATGCAGCGACAGACAGGACCTGCAAAACCGTCGCTATTTCAATGTTGCAAAACAGTTAAATATCACTTTTGTTTCACTATAAATAAACTGTATTTCTCTTCAAAAATATACAAGAAATGAAATAAACACATACAAATTTTATCAGCGTTTGTGCAAACGGTAGATTTCACGAGATTTTTTTAACCGTCTGGAACAGCCCTCAAGAACGTTTCCATTAGAAATTCTGAAGCGAAAACAAATGTTAACCACCAAAAATATAGTCCAACTATATTTTTCTTGACAAGTTCATCTTGATTTTGAGTGCTCTGTGTTTTACATATAGCACGATGTTTGTAATTAATCACTCAGCCCTACGGTCTTCGTGAATATATTACTGCGCATCGGAACTCCATACCGTGCTATATTACACCACAGAGGCACTCAAAATAAAAAATCTATTTCCTAATTTTAAAAATAGGATGTTTTATTAAATGACCTTTAATAAAATGTTTAATATATAATCATCTATCTTATAAATGAACTTATATCACTGATACATTTAAAGGGTTTACCCTACGTAATAAAGAAGATATTATAGTGATCTTTAGTGCACATTTTAGAATTGAGCAGGAAAATATCTGCCATCTTGAATATTATGTTACTGGAAGTCGGAATAATAAAGGAAGGGGATTCAAATATAACTAATAGAGGTTATCTACACATGCATAGTAATAAAAAGTAAAAATAATTATAATTTTATTAAAAAATATAACAACTAAAACGTTAAAACTCAATGTGAAACCGGTATCAAATTTAAGTCAAATTTTACCTTTGACCACGATATTTTTTCAACGTATACTTCAAACTATTAACAACTTATAAACTTAATTCAATTTGACGTATCATCAAGTATCATAGCTTCTAAATTTGACGGGAATATTAGGCGAAATCTTTACTGGAAGTGCAATCTGAAAGATCGCCGCGAAAAGCTTCAAAAACTAAGCTTATGCATTTATTTACAATATATATATATAACTACAGCAGGCCGGTGCACATAAACGTGTTTTTTTTTCGACTTTTTCCCATGTTAGTGGCTCCTGCTTATTCATCTTGTGTACTCTTGTATCATTTTTCAGTCCGATCAAGTATAGATATAATTATTATATACATGTTTACCTGATCCAATATAACAGGAGTCACTTAAATATCAATTTATATAAAGAAAATGTTTTGATTATTGCAATGAAAATAAAAACTTTAAAGAACCACATATTTTTCATACTAGATGAAAGTTTTATTAGGTATTGTTGGTTGCTTGAATATATTTATGAGGAATAGAACACTTTATTTCTTTTAGACACGGACTGTTCAGACATTAAACAGCTATTGGGAAAACAAAACAATGGAATCTACAACGTTACACTATGGAAAACAAACTTAACTTTGCCTGTGGTCTGTGATTTCAGTACGGACGGTGGAGGATGGACGGTTAATATTTGTTTCTTTCAATCATTCAGCAATTTTTTTCAACATTTCGTTTAAAATCTTGAACATTAAAACTAATTATTGAAGCGTTAGTATAATTATTAGTTATATTTCACTAAGCTAACATCGGATGTATTGTCATGTAGCTAGGTATGAAAATGAATACATTTAAAGTCACTAGTGATACATAAAGGATATTTGATTGTTTTGAGGGAATGCTATTAACACACACTGAGAATATTTCTCGGACATACATGTAGTAAATAAAAAGAAAATGCATTTATATAGTACAGTTTGATCTATAGGAATGAATATGTGGTGTTAAGCCTATCTATAAAGGTATTTTTTTACTTGACGAATCTGAAAATAGTTTAATGAAGGTCTTGACCAATAACGTGTGTGCATAATTTCAAATAATTTTCTCACTCCGTTTTTCCAAAAATGATTATTCGAATTGTGAAGAAGACACACACACAGGCTGGTGAAGACAACGCTCATTATGTTTTACTTTTTCTAAAAGAAAACAAAAAAAATGCTTTTAACTTATCTTTAAAAAGAAAATTGATGAAAAAATATTCAATATATCCGTGTGATGTTTTGGTTGTTTTGTCCACATATGAATAAAATCCGTACATAAACAACAAACTTATAACTTACTAAAACTTCAATAATTAGACAAGCCATTTTCAGCTCACGATTCAGTTCAAGGTTTATAAGATCTTATTCAAAATGTTGTTTTGTTCAAGTATGAAGATAATCCATAATTAACTACCAATTTACAGCTAATTATAGCAAAATATCAGTGAAACTTTAATAATTCGACTTTCAAGGTGAAGGTCATACATGAGTCAAGGTCAATTTGAATTTAATATACACAAAGGCCCTGACATTAAAGTAATGTTAAAATATGAAGTCATTCCATTTATAGATAACAAAGTAATAGCCATTTACAGCATAAAACAAGAGAATTTCATCGATTTGACATTGACGGTCAAGGGCAATTAAAGGTCACATCTATTTTATTCAATATGTTTCCTTGGTACCAATTTTGTTTTGCCCAAGCAAAAATCAAATCCGTACATAAATGATAAAATTATGGCAATTTAACCAAAATTCAATAATTACACATTGACGGTAATTTTTACGCTCAAGGTCAAAGAAAGTCAAACTTTCAGAATGCCTTGTCCAAAAGGTTCTTATATCCAAGTAAGAATATGATCCATTTATTAATGACCAAGTTTCTGTCAATTATAGCAAAAATCAGTAGAAATTCAATATTTAACATTCTAAAAATGAAAAGCAAAATTTTAATTTAACGATAATGTTTTTTTCCCAGTTAAATACGTTCTCTTCTTGTTTGATGCCATTAATTTGTCTGAAATTTCAGTGATTCTTCCGCATTCAATCTTAGTTTCGATTTTCATCTTGATAAACATTATTGTCAAATTGCCGATGCATTTATATGAACCCTTCTGCATTTCTATCAGTGATCTGCAAAGATTATTAAAACATTATCTTTAACATTTCAAACAAAATAACCTTCTTTATTATCTTTATCTTTTCAAGAATTATAGCAAACAGTAAATTAACAAGTCAAACAAAACCATGACATTGTACATTAATTAAAATTGAACGGTATATCCCTAATTTCCTCACAACATGAACAACTGTACAACAATATGATCTTTGTAAGAAAAAGTATCAAGACTATTTTGATTGTAATTTATAGATTATAAAGCATCGTTTCTGCTTGTTATATAGGTTTTTCAATATCGTTTTGACGGTAGTGTTGACTTCTACAGAAACTTGTTGGATTACACAAATGGGTTCGGTTCTCTCAATGGTGAATTTTGGTTAGGTAAGGCACGTTCAGTTTTTTATTTTGCTTAATGTTTAAAAAGATTTTAGCCCCCGTTTTGTATATTCTATTTATATGTCTTATTATTATTGCAAATTGAATAGATTGAATACTATGTTTGCTACAACATTTGTTTACAGCTACGACTTCAATACATTAACGAATGTGCCACAGACACATACTTTGTTTTGATTAATTTAAAGCTATATCATTTCATTGAATAAGTTCAATGTAACCTTCAGTCAAGTTATTTAAGATATAACTCAATGTTAAACCCTTTCACTGCCATATGGACGGCATATGCCGTCCCTATTATTTTCGGCGTATTTGCCACATGAACGGCTTTTGCCGTTTCTATAATAATAATAATAATAATAATAATAATAATAATAATAATAATAATAATTATAATTTTAATAATAATAATAAATATATATAGATAATTATACCATCGACACTAATTATTATTATACTAGCAGATTTGGAAGCATATATAATTATTATAATACTAAAAACAAATAATAATAATTATATGAATTAATAATATAGTAATTCCTTAGGTGATCAATAAATAAATAACCCTCTGGCAGCGAAAGGGTTAACATTATCTTTTTTCGGTCTCAAAAATATGTTGATAAGAATAAAGTTATTTTTCCGTTCAATATTCATTTTAATGAAGGCCTTAAGTATATCTACGAGATGCTTACTCAAGGAAAATCAGAGTTAAGACTTGATCTGACAGCGGCTGACGGAACAGTATTTCAAGAAGTATTTCAGAACTTTCAGCTTGACAACAGCCCGTATTATACACTTCATATAAACGGCACAGGTATCAATTAATGATATATAGCGATGTATTCGGCGAAACATTCAAAATATATATCACTGTCTCTCTTTTAATAATTATTTTTCATTATAATTTAGTTTATCATCATTATCATCATCATGATTATTTTCAATGAAAGTTTTTGATTTTCTTTTTTCTTGACATCATGTTACCAATGTGACAACAGTGCTACGACGAAATAACACTATTGCATGACTACTTTGATTATTTAAATGAGAGCAACGTTACAAGAAACTGCGCGGAGTGCGAATGACACTGTCAATATAATTTATTATAGCATACGCTTTAAAATAGACAATGCTTAACCTATGTTTTTAAATATACTTACATCTTTTTGTCATACAGATCTATTTCTTGTTTATTTTCTTTAGAATGATAACACGCGTAAAAGAAAGCCGTTAATGCAAAATGATTGTTATAAATAAAACTATGTTTAATCAATATACAGGTGGTCTTGGGTTATCAACTGATAATGGTAGACATTTTTCGACATACGACGCTGATCGTGATACAAGTGTCCTAAACTGCGCAGTCAGTCGCCATGGCGGTTGGTGGTATGGAAGCTGTACTAGTGGAAATCTCAATGGTGAATATATTACACCTGGGACAAAAAGCTCGGTCAATGTGCACAGATCCATGTATTACTATCCATTTAAAGAAACATACTCACTTAGAATATCTAGAATGATGTTTCGACGCGTGTTGAAGGATTAAATTTAGAATCTACCATTACAGCATTAAAGCATACTTACTACACACTTACTTATAAAAAAAGTTGTGAAATAGTGGAAAATAAGTGGGTCACTACAATATATGGCCAATATGTAGCAAACAATGATTGTATAAATGATGAATGTATTTATATATATTCTTTATTCTATTTTTTTTAAAGAGAAAATAACCTAAACGACATAAAATGTCGTAATATTTATGTTATTTTTACGTTAAATCATATATTAACTCTTTATACATAAATCCCTCACATTTGCATTTGATATGCTAAATGCTCATTGAGTTTTACAGTCTCGTTAGCTTCGATGAAAGGTAAAATAAGAGCTTTTTTCTAAAAGAGAATAAAAACAGCATCCCTAAAGACAAAATTGTAAATGTTGCAGATTCGGTTTGCCTTCGCCTGTTCATGGATACATAATTGCTTTTACTTTTTATGCTTAACTGTTAATGACATTATAATCATATATTCAGCATCTGTCCAACATTTTGATTTTTAAATCAACGTTTCTAACATGATATGTATAGATTCATTTTCAAACATTGTTTTTAACATTTTTATTTATCAAAATTAGTCTGCACATTGCATATAATCCAAATGCATCCAATTACTATTAACGGGACCAATGTTTTATTTATAAAAGGATTAAATATCATACAATATAAGCATTGTAGTTAAAGAGCTTAGCAGATAACTCATGTTAAACTTTTTTTTTTACTATAAAGTATGTTAAAAAGACAATACAAATAAAACTAACCATGCATATTGTTACATGTTCGTTCCTAATTTCTCTCTTAGATTGCATGTTTAACCCATATACCGCCATTATTACAGTGCTTAATATTCCCTGGAAGAATGACGCACCATGTTGTATTTCTTTCTTGACTAAAAATGAACATTTTTTTATAGGCAATTATCGTTATTTGGTTCAATATTTTATTTACCATTAAACGTTAGACAACAAAATTTACCGTTATAACATCCTGTAAAGTAGAGAAAAAATGGAGTCACTAAAGAACGCCCACAACAATAAAATCAAAATTATTTCAATCTCGGTTTGATTGAGCCTGTTCATGGACTGGACTGGAAAGTGCACGTTACCGTCCACGTTTCAAAGCTACGGCTTTAAAGAAGTATTTAACATTTAAAACAATTTTGAATTGAGAAACATCTGCAATGTTGTAAGTTAGCTTTTTTGAATTCATCATTAACGCTAGAATTTGTAAAAGACATCTTGACTGTGATGAGTCAAAGAAAATATATTTTAAATTACTCACTTAATGAGAATAGTCTGATAAATTAATATTTTAACATTAATGTGTTCCGTCTTTACTTATCATATTAGTGTTAGCGGGACTTTAAATGCTAAGATCTTTGCGGTTCAACAACGATATAAAAGGATGGGGGACATCTAATTGGATATTTTGACACAGCTAAAATTGAGTTTTGTTTAAACGCTTAGTAGTTTAAAAAGCGTGCACTGGACAGGCTGATTGTTGACAGTTGTCAGTACATTATAATTGATCTTTTTTTCCCTGTCCAACTTTTGAAGTCATGTATAATATAAAAATAATTGGGCTTCGGTAAGTGAAATGTTTGCAGGCTGACTGTTTATTACCTATAATGCTAATATAAGATGCCACCAAACAATGATTTCTACTATAGCATTAGTTTTTAATTAATTTTGAACTTAGATAAAGCACATGGTAGAAATAGTTAAATAGCTTTACGCCTTTGACGGTGCTATCAGATAAATTTTGTACGGTAAAATTGGGTCACCGATAATGATTTTTGCTATTTTGTGTTTTAATTTCCGATTTCATTAGTATATATGTTTCAAATGTTGCACTTGTACCCGATATGCTTGCAAAGTGTATGACAAATATCGTCAACAAAATATTGCAACATAAAAGATTTCTGCAAGCATTACGGAAAACTTAAAGAGCTACAATTGAAAGTGTTATATGTTCACCTTACTATTAAATGTTTGTTTTCCCAACATTTCTCTTTTCCCCTCGGTACGTGCAAGTAGATGAGAAGGCACAGGGCATCGGAAGAAGATTTGAAGAATTTGCGATGGCAAAAAAATAAACAGTGACCAGAATTTGTACCTGCGGACCAGCTGCTAATAACCTGACTAAAAACGAAGAGAGTAGCAGGGACGACCCTGGCACAGAGTGACGGCTTGAAAGACAGGCCCTTTGCTCCGCACAACCATCTCTTTTAAGAGCTACCTCCTTTTCATAGTTTCTCAAGTTACTGTAAATTTTGGTTCTCAGTGATCTACCTTTGGCTAAAAATTCATATTTATGGCTAATCCTCTGCGGAATTTGCATAGAGGTAGATAATCACCACTTTGTGCATCAAAATTAACCCTTTAAAGGCTTTCACTGGTGACACCCGTGGTCTGTACACGACAGCGTACTATACCGAACCCCCGGCTGGCACGACATTCTACAGGACATTCAGCAGGACAATGAAACTTAAGCAAACACCCCGCTGTAAAGAAAAGAAGGTACCGTAATCAAACTAATTGTATGCATCCTAACAAATCATTGCTCAGTCTAAGGTTCAGTAAATATGAATACAAAAACAAGTCTGGTTAGGCGACAGTGTTTTCAGCGTAATCCGAACATTGATGTGCTCTGAAGTTTTCAGTTACTTTATACAATTTATTTTATTTCTTTCTTGACATGAACTTACAGCGTTAATGAAATGATCGTGTTTAAGTCTAATACTGGTTTCTAAAAGATGATTTGAAATCATTTTAGTGTTTTTGCTGTTCCAATAACATAAATCAATAAAAGAGGAGCCAATTATGATACCATTTAGAAAAGCAACAGTCGATATTTGAGTTAAGTTTATTTGCTGGGGAAAAGGGCAAAGAGCAAACATTAAAACAGGATTTCAAGAAATTTCCTTAACTAAACTACAGGAAAGTTATATTTCAAAGGCAATTACACTTATTAAGTTTTTTTTTTAAAGATTTATTGCTTTTTGCATAAATTTGTTTTAAAATGTGTATTTATTTTCCATTTGTTCCAACTTGTGTCTTCTATCCCATTTTTCTATATAATTAAAGTTCGGCGTAAGTTGTACAAGTTATAAAACAAAACAACAAATAACAAAAAATACAACATAGATATTACAAGCCAAAAATTAAAAATTGATTTTGTGAAAAAATGATGAAATACATTCATGTTTATAGAAGATATAATCCGGACGATACTGGACGACACACGCTAACGATGGTCGTTCTTATACATGTTGTAAGTCGGCGTATCAAATGGAAATTTGCAATTACTAGGATGAAAAATTATTTCAACTATCACTACTAAGGTATTAGAAAATCAAATGAATCTAAATTGGAAGCGTACCCTCCAAAATTCAAAACGGAAATTATCGATGTCTGATAGCTTGGAAAGCATAACCAAAATAACTTTAATGACGAAAATATATCTATCTTAAATAAATTTCGAAAATATTGGTAATGTTCAAATAACTAGCTCTAAAGTTATATCAAATATATAATTAGATTCAAGTTAATTCAACTGTTGTTAATCTATAACTGGTTATTAATTCTGAGAGAGAGAGAGAGAGAGAGAGAGAGAGAGAGAGAGAGAGAGAGAGAGAGAGAGAGAGAGAGAGAGGGGTATATCAGTGCATTGGATTTTCACTGCCTCAATGGATTATTCTGTAATCGTTGTTTTATATTATTGTTATGAAATGACGAAAAGAAAATTCAGTCAAGACAATGAAATCAACATGGCTTTCAATTCAAACGAAATTTAAGTTGTTACAAAACAATGACAACGTGGTATTGTTTTGACGCACTGTAGGCGTAAGTATTCATTAGTGTCAAAGTGTATTTGGCTAATAGAAGAATATTTTACGAGAAAACTCGCATTATATGTTGGACGCGCTCGTGGGACCTGTTAAGCTGTATCTTTAAGGATAAAACATTTGTAATTAGAGTTTCCAAACTGTCATTTATTGCAGTCTGAAGTCTTTAAATTTAATTTCATATTCACAGACCGCAATCAACAACTTGCGAAATATTTTAGCAGCAAATGAATTATTACAGCCTTTACAAAAATTTGTTGACGCATCTTTGTGGTTTTGAATGCACATTAAATTATGTCTAAATCTTTGTTACAGTCAATATTGAAGATACAAGTACATTTCGGAAAAGTATGACACAAGTGCATTTTGGAAGAAATATTACAATAAATATTAAAGTACTCTAGACAATGATAAATTGGTCATTGAATTCCTCTTAAGCTAATACATTACATGTAGGTCATTTAAGGCCCTTTCACATGTACTTGGTCTAATAAACAAGTCGTTTGGCTCTGCAATTGCAGTTATGGAATCTTATTAATCATATCAAAGAGGTCATATAAATACTCACATACTCATTAAGACATACATTATACTATATAAACCTTTAAAGTGATCGATGCTAACATGTGTTTCATATCACATGACCTTACTTCTGATCTTGGTGTATATTATTACCATTTCATTTAGTCAACTCTCAGAGATATACAGCTGTTTGAGTCACACATGCAAAGTAAAATGAAACAAAGCTAACGTTATCGTGACAAGAATAAACATATTATTTCTTTCCATATGGGATCCGTTCAACATTAAGGATAAAAAAGTCATTGAAAATATATTGGTGCTAGCCAAATAAGTTGTTTGAAGCATCATTGTGTTCCAAATTGAAAAACTAAGAAAGTTTCCTTTAGCTAAATTAAATAGATAAATTTAACAAAGTAAACGTGCTCTAAGTAGTTTAGATATAGCATTTACATAGTTTTGTATTGGAAAAAATTGTGTTACATGTCTTATGCTATAGTTTAACTGAATAATACAACATATTATGGTTAAAACTGTAACTCTGATTGTGTTATTGTAAAAAGCTAAAACAAGGAATAAGTCATGGAAATAGTCTAGATATATAGAAGTAAAACTATTCAGTTCTAGCACATATCTATAACATGGACACAGCATCTGAATGATAGAATGATATTTAACATCCCGAAAGAAAGATGATCAAATAAACAATGCAAAAAGCTACACGATTACAGAAAGACATATAAAAAAATCGTAATGTTTTAAATTTTAGTTGTCTTTGAAAATCCGATCCGATGGGGAGAAAATTGGATTCGTAATCCAAGGTCGCTTGTTCGTTCCTCTGGCGAGGCGAATTTCTGATATTGTTTTGTCATTTGTCGCCCACTGCTGACTCTGAAATCACGTGATATATAAAGTCGGTCAGTCGAAGAGAAATCGGTAATTAAATGTTACTTATCCAGCCGAGATATGTCCTAACATGTGATAAAATTCGGTGTTAAAACAACCAAACTAAACATTTGGCTCATACCAATACGTTTGTGTATGAATTTGCAGATACTGTCAGATAAGTAAAGGAACACACGTCATATACGTGGATGCTCTCGAAAAATGTCTTACCAACCCACAAACATCAATGTCAAAAGGACTGCTTTTAATTTCATCTGTGTCTTATTTGCCTATATTCAATATTTAACTCAGTATATTGTATCAGTTTAAACGTTCATTTAGAAAAGGTTAACCGTACATGATAAGACAGGTTGAAATTATTTACTTCATGTTTGAACTGTTTGCAACATTATGAAATTAGGATTTTATTTTCTTTGTTTTAAAGACAAAAAACATTGTTTCTAGCTAAATTGAAATTAGTTATGGGTTCTGTACTGAATATTTCAGACTAACCGAGCATGAAAACTTACGCCCATTTTTAAACACATACTTGTTAAACAAAATGAAAAGTTGAATTAAGATACATTTTAAATGTCTGAGTATAAATTGATAATATAGCTTACATAACTCTTGTGTTCTCTGTTCATCGAATAAATGTAAAATGACG